CCCCTCCTCCTCGTCCTCCTCCTCCTCCTCCTTCTCCATGCTTAGGTCGGGCATGTCCCCCTACAGGCAGGTTCTGGACGACAAAATTGAACATAGTCAAATAAATCTTCAAACATGGTTAAAATCAATCGAATTTTCGTCCCCAAATTCTTTGTTGTTTTACTATTTTTGAATATGCCTTCAATTACACACCAGAGAAAACTCCAAGGAGTGGATGGTTTTGAATCGCGGCATCGATAAAGAGATCGATACGGAGATCGCCCTGGAACCCGGGAACCTGGGAACCCGGAACCCACCGACATCGGCCCGGAACCAATAGCCAGGAACCCGGGAACCCGGAACCGGGAAGCGGGGAACTTAGCCGGCTACCAAATTCGGCGGGATTCGCCAAATCTTTCGATTTCCGCTGGGACCCCTTCAGTGCAAGCACTGACCGGGGAATGAATAACGGTCGGAGGGCACCAACTACACACCAACACCGATCCTGGCCCAGGATCACCCTGGGCCCAGGATCGGTGTATATGCCTTCTTGCGCAAGGCAGGAGGGCGTGTACACCGATCCTGGGCCCAGGGTGATCCTGGCCAGGATCGGTGTTGGTGTATAGTTGGAGCCTTCCTAAACTGCTCCCTGTCGCGCCCCGAGGCTGGTCGAAAGGGCGGCCCGGGCGTTTCGCCGGAGACTTCCTCACCAGGTCGAAGAACCTGCAGCTTCACCTCTGCAGCAGTCTCACGGATGGGGGGCGAGCCACGTTCAGAGTGTGGCTCTCGCCCGAGCTCCGCGCAGTTTTTTTTTTTTTTTTTTTTTTTTTTTTTTTTTTTTTTTTTTTTTTTTTTTTTTTTCCTCATTTTATTGTTATACATATACATATATATATATACATTAAACATAAAATGGCAAAAGTGTAAACAAAACAGCGTTGCAAGGATTTCACGGATGCAGGGCGGACGATTTTCAAAACATGGGTCTCGCCCCAGCGCCCCGCGCATTCGTTTTCAATAATTGTAAGAGCTTCACGGTCGGAGGGCGGATGTTTTTTTGAACATGTGGTTCTCGCCCTAGCGTTACGCGCATTCGCCGCACACAAGTGCAAGAGTTTCACGGATTCGGTTCTTTTTGAACATGCGACTCTCGATTCAGCGCCGCGCACACTTGTTTTGGGAGGTCACAGTTGTTTCAATGATTCTCACCCTTAGCGTCCCATACAACATGTTTTGGCACGATGTCGGGTTGTGAGGGTGCGACAGTTACGTTGTTTCGTGGTGTTGAATTGAAGTCCCAGAAATTGCGTTCTGATCCAGTATCTTCAGGACGCAACAGTTACAGTGATTCGCGGCGTTGAAGTCCCAGGAAAGGTGTTCCAGTGCAGGAGTTTTGAACGGTTGTCTTCAACGGGGCACTTCCCTCCATGAGCACGAATCTTTGTAGAGGCTTGTGAAAAAGGGAATTTGGAGGGCGGGCTTACTACAATATTGTTGGTGTGTCTTGGGTTTAGGCAGGTCTTTTTCCTCCTCCTTTTCCTCTTCCTCTTCCTCTTCCTCCTCCTCCCCCTCCTCCTCCTCGCCTTCCGCCTCCTCCTCCTCCTCCTTCTCCTCCCATTCCTTGTCCTCCTCCTCTGCCCTTCCCGCTCCTGAGCAGCAAAGCTTTTTCAACGGGCGCCTGTTCCTGAAGAACGTCTCCACCGTGGACGTGGAGGCTCGCCGTCTCCGCACGCAGCCCTCGGCCGACCAACGCGTGCCCGTCTCTGCCAGCATGGACATCGCGGCCGCCCTCCCCAGCTTCGTGCATCAGTGGCTGTGGGCGGTCCGCAGCAGGTGTGGCATTCACGGCAACGTGCTGTCCCTCCCTTCGCTCGTGCTGCTCCGTTCCGTTCGCCTTCCTCGAGCTGGGCGGTGGACGGCGTCCGTTACGCTACACGCCGCTTCCGGAGTGGCACCGGGCTGCCCGCTCCGCGGCACCGTCTGGGCGCTCATCGTCGACCCGTTCCGTCTGCGCCACCAGCTGGGAGCTCTCCGAATTTTGCAGGAAGGCCTTGTCAGTGCGTGCGTCGACGACCTGGGGATCACCCCCGCGAAGCTCCACGACATCGCCAAGCTCACACACACACATGATTGCTGCCGACACGCTGGCAAGCCTCAAGCCTCAAGCCAAGAAGGGCATCATCGTCCCCACATGGCCAGCTAGATATGAAGATACGCTGTGAGCGTGGTTCATTGTTGTCCTCACATGGTCCCCGCCTACTCCGCCGCTGGTCGAGCGGATGCGCACGAACATGGCTGACGCTCCTCCCCCTGGTGCGCATTCTAGATCGAGGGCAAATTTTGTGATCTCGGATTGTTCGTGGGCCCTTTCGCGGCACTTGTAAAGAGGGCCATCCGCCAAGTTGTCGGACCGCATCGAATAGCTCTCCATACCACACGTTCCACTTCAGCAGTGTGTCAAGCTCTACAACGTAGCCGCCATCATCTGCTTATCCTACGTCGACTCGCTGTGCGAGTCGCCGCACGCGATCCTTTCCGAAGAACAGCAAGCCATCCGCAGGCACCTCAGAGTTGTGCCAAGCAGCTTTGCCCATTCGGACATCCAAGCAGTGGTGCTCTGGACCAACATCGAGACCCCGCACGGCATCGAGACGCTGATGGCTGCAAGCAGGTGTTGCACCGCAGCTACCACAGTCACTGAATGGCGAGATGCTCACCGCCGCCTCTGCGACACCGCCTTCGAGGAGCTCAGTATCACCAGCGCTGTTGCAGGCAGCTGGGGCACCAAATGTTGGAAGGACCCCACCTCCCTCGTGCAGCGCCATGTTGGCGCCACGGACTTGTCATTGTTCGCCACCAGCAGGGGTACACATGTCAAACGCGTAGCCAGATCCAGAAGCTCTCCTTCTCCTGCGCGCGTCCACCTGCAGACCGCCAAGAAGTACGCCGCCCGCAAGGGCACCATGGCCATTCTGAACAGGCACGATAACGAGTTCGGACACGCGAAACCTCAGCGCACCCCGCAGACAACTTACCTTCTGGTGCTGCAGAACGACTCTACATCGGCACGATGCCACACACGGTTCGCCGCCGCCTCCAGTCATGGTTTCCAAGCCTCGACCCCGACGCCCAGATCAATTCCCAACATGATCTTGATCGACATCACGCCGACCACGTCCATGAATGCTTGTTTCGTCGAGCCGCTGCCTGTGATGCGCGTTGAACCCTTGTCGTGCTGATGAAAAGTCGCGACACCGACAAGGAGATGGGCTGGATGACCTGGTGCGTCGAATTTCTGGATTCGGTTCTTCAACGTGGTGACTTCCGTCCGCTGTACCAGACCCCCGTCCAGCAACGACAGCTTGCACGTGGCATGTGCAACACGAATCTGGCAAGATGGATCTTTTGGCCGTCGCATGCCTAAGCTCCGCCTTCTGGAACACCCAGGTGCTGGCGCTGAAGGACGGCGTGAACAAGCTGCTCTGCCTGAAGACAAAAGAAGCCTAGCATCGTGCTCGACGCCGCTGGGTAGATAGCTATCGGCGCCAAGATCGGGATCCCGTGATGCCGCCAGAGGACACGGACGACGACGGGCCCGTGGACCTGCTGAACTTGCTGAGCTTTCCTGACGCACTTCCCGGGCGATGGTCCCGCCTGCGGGTATAATTACCTCGCCACACACATCCTCCTGTCCGAGTGTGGGCTGCGCTGAAGATGCTGGTGGGAGGATGGACTACCTCAACAAGGATGCGTGTCCTTCAATGCAAGAGGAGCTGCCATGTTGGCTGCGACGCCGACGGCGACATCAAGCACAACTTGGTCTGCCCCAGTCTCTGGCACCAGCTCAGCCTGCCGTGGGGCCAGCTGAGCGCGGAGCTGCTGGTGAGGATCGGGCTTCCCTCGCTCTTTTCCGAGTTCGAGGGCGAGGACGGGATCCTTAGCGCGGTCTCGCGCACGGGGGTCGTCACGCGCACGTACCACTTCACGTAGCGGCGCAGCTAATGATCACAGCTCTCATCGGCTTCGTTTGCTCCTCCTCTGCCCTTCGGGCCTCCTACTGCACTTCTGGCCGGCTCCGGGGTTACACGACGTTTTGCCTATTTTGCCACGCCGCTTTAGCTGGTGACATCATTTCACACATTCCTGAGTGTCCTATCGTTGAATCCCGCTGCTTGCCGCTCCTTCCGCGCCTGCCTCCTGCCTTCGTTGCCTCCTCCGATGGTCGAATACGTGCTATTCGTATTTTCTATGTTTTGCTGTTTCCCACCGACCAGCTGACGTTTGTTTTCGGACTTGGTCGGCAATGTTTACCACTCCTTCATAGTGTCTGGGGCTCCCAGAGGAGATCGGTTTCGCCTAGCTTGTCGAGGCCGCCTCGCACAACAGCTTCGGAAGCAGCCTTCGCTGGCGTCCTTGATTCATAAGCCTTTTGCTGTTCACTCCTTGTTTGCCCCTCCTCCTTGTCGTGCTGGCTGCGTCTGCTTGTCTTCGCTTTCGGGGTGTGGCTTGTCGCTGGCCCACTCTGGGGTGGCCCCCCCCCGTAGCGGTGCAGAAACGGGCGCTCTCCGACAACCGCACCCTCTTGCTTCTCCATCTGACCTTCTCTGACCTCCTTTGTCAGGCGAAGAGAACTATGCACATGCAGCGGTCCTGGCCAGGCCCATCCTTGGCCCCAGGATCGGTGCATATGCCTTCATGGCCAAGGCAGGAGGACGGACCTGGCCAACATCGGTGTGTGTGTGTGTGTGTGTGTCTATGCATGGTTCTTTTTCCTATAATTTGGCAGTGCTCCTCCTCCCCCTGTGTGTTCTTACGCGCCGCCGCCGCGCTTCCGTAGGGGGCCACATGCGAACCCTACCCCTACCCCCCACGATTTCTGAGGTGGAGGGTGGGGTTCACTTCGCTCGGGAGCTCCCGAACGAAGTGAACCCCACCCTCCCCCTCAGATATCGTGGGGGGTAGGGGCAGGGTTCGCATGTGGCCCCCTATTCCGCCCTCCGCTCGCGGGGACCCTTCGTCAGGAGGGCTGGTGCGACTGCATCGTGACCGACCCGCCCTACGGCGTGCGCGCTGGCGCCAAGAAGCAGGGCCGCGGGCTCGGGCGCAGAGGAGGGGCGCGAGGGAGGAGGGGGGGAGGAGAGAGGGAGGGAGGGGGGAGGGGGGAGGGGGGAGGGAGGAGGGAGGAGGGAAGAGGGAGGGAGGAAGGAGGAGGATGGAGGAGGGAGGGGGGGGGGGCAGGGAGGGAGGAGGGAGCACATCTGTGCACCAAGCGGCAGGCCAAGCGAGCCTCCTTTGGCCGAGTGGTCGCGCTCCACGACGAGGCGGGTGCCCTGGGGCCCCGGCTTCGCGCCCAGGTGTCGCGCCGGGTGGTGCGCGGCTGGCGCGGTGGGAGAGTCAGCCATGCGCAGAGGGGGGTAGGGGGGAGGGGGGAAGGCTTTTCAGAAGCACCCTTGCTTCTCAGAAGGCGCGGGCCATGTCTGTAGATGCACGGCCAGCGCCTTCTAAGAATCAGCCTCCTTCTAAGAAGCCTTTCCCTCTCTCCCTACTTCCCCCTGCGCGACGCTAAGAGAGACCGGGGCGCCGCGGCCACGCGCGAGGGAGGAGGGAGGGCGAAAACGCCGAAGGCTCCGGCAGCGGCGCCCGCGCCCGCGAGCCAACGAAGCGCAGCCCACGACGGCCAACATTCCAGCAGGAAGGTCTGCGCCGCAGCGGAAAAACCTTTTCCGTCGCGGCGCGGCAGAGGCGATCCGCACGCGCGTCAGGGCGCGACTGGGACACGGCATCGCGAGCTCGCCCGCATGCAGGAGGGAGGGGGGAAGGAAGGAGGGCGGCCGCAGAAAGCGAAGCGGAAATGCATACAACGCACCATTTGGAGATTCTTGATCCTACATGGCAAATTGGCGAACACGAGCTCATATGTCATCGTTTTTTTAGTCATTGTTTTGCTAATCGGCGCGGGCCCTCGCACCCCCCCTGCATCCCCCATGGAGTAGATCTTGGCTGTTTTTGGCGCCTGTTTCGAGCAGGTGGAGTCTCCCCATATGACGCACTGCTGCAAACAATCGCACTGAGCAGAAGTCCAGAGCCAGATCCCCCCCCTCCCCCCCTGCCGCCCAATGCCGAAACGCTGAATGAGAACAAGTTCATTATCCCCTCGCGTCGCGAAGGAAGAACTGCACTTTCACCCACGTCGTCAGGTTTGCAGAGAAGGGCCCCCGACCCGCCTCTCACACGCCGTGCCTACAGCAACCGCCAGGCCCAGAGTGTGCTTGTGCTCTCTGGGTATCCCGCCTCGTATCTTCAACGGGTGACGACCGCATGCCGCGGCCGCCAGGCCTAAAGTGTGCTGGTGCTCCCCGGGTCTCCCGCCTCGCGTTCTTGGGTGGGGGTTTGCTCGGATCTGGGGAAGCCAAAGGTACCCGTACCGCTACTCCCCGGACCTATCCCGGGGTGAGTTCTGACCAGGATTTCGAGGCGAATCCAGCAGTGGCGACGAGGGCCTCCCAGGAGGTCCACAGGCGAAAACGAAGAAATGGTAGCGGTAGCGGTATGGGTACCCTTTCCTCCCCCGAGAAACGTAATCACCTTGTTCGGGTGGGCCATTTTGGGGCTTCGTGAGCGTGAACAGCCACTTGGCCTGAGAGGCCGGTCCCCAGAGAAGTGGCCGAGATTCGGGAGACCCACGTCGCGAAAAACTCATTACGTCGGGGGCGCAGGGAGGGAGAAGGGGGGAAGGAGGGGCGATGTGAGGTTGGAGGACCCCCCCCCCTCCTCTCCCCACAACTACCTAAGATGAATCCTACTCCTCCTCTCTCCCCGGATTGTGCCCTGAATTTATGCGCCTTCCCTGCGCATCTCTGCGTCCGCAGGATTTCACATGTTTTTTCATGCGGCTTGTCAGTCGGAGCGTTTTCGATGTGGTGTTCCCGCTGCAGCGTGGGCCTCATTTTTGGATCGGCGCTTCGCCCCCGTCGGTCAGAACGGCGCTCTTTGCTCAGCGCGGTCCACTTATTCGGGCCCGAGTCCTTCATAGCCCTGCTCCTTTACCCTCCATTTTTTTTTTGGCCGTCCTGCTTTTCCCGCTCCTCCCACTCCTGCTCCTGTTGCTGCTTTTCCTTATCGTCCTCCTGCTTCCTCCTCAGTCTCCTCCTCCCCCTCCTCCTCCTCCTCCTCCTCCTCCTCATGCTCATCCTCCTGCTCATATGCCACCTCCTCATATGTATGCAGCTCTCTTTGTCTGAATGCGCATCTCACGATGGGTTTCTTTGGGGGATTCCAGGTCGGCTATGACACCCGTCGACGGATAAAGACAATTCAGCGCAATGGGAAGGGATGGGTGGGATGGGTCGGATGTCAGATTTGGTGCGAGCGCACCCAGCTGGTTCCCGTTCCCCACCCTTCTCCTCCGCCTTCCTCCTTTGCCCTTCTTCTCCTCCTCCTGCTACTTCTTCGCCCTCCTTGGATTTGGGGGTGGGTGGGTGGGCTGGGAGCTCCATCTGCACCAGGGACGCAGGGAGAGCCCTTGCGGGGTCAGCTCGTGGTGGGGCACTCGCGCGAAACTGCTGTCTGTCTGTCTGGCTCTATCGGGCCCTCCTCCTCCCCCTCCTCCTCCTCCTCCTCCATTTCCTCCTCCTCCTCCTCCTTCCGCATCCTCCCTCGTCCTCCCTCTCCTCCTCCAGACCCTTCATGGAGAGGAGGCGGACTCAGACGCGTCTGATCTTACGTGGCCGAGCTCGTTTGGCCGTGGGCCCGTCCCCACCGTCGTAGACGGCACGCAGCCGTCGTAGATTGCGCGCAGCCGTGCTCGAACATCCCAAGGCCGCGCTGGCGGCTGCGAGTGACCGGGAGCCCGACTTTCGCCAGCCCGCACATCATTCTCGCGTCGGAAGGAGGAGGTGGAGGTGGAGGAGGAGGAGGAGGAAGAGGAGGGGGAGGAGGACCAGGAAGAGGAGGAGCAGGGGGAGGAGGAGGAGGGGGATGAGGAGGAGGAGATGACGGATGATGAAGGATGATGGTGATGATGATGATGCTGTTGCTGCTGATGCTGATGATGATGATGATGATGATGATAAAGCTGCTGCTGCTGCTGATGATGATGATGATAACGATGCTGCTGATGATAATGATGCTGATGATGATGATGCTGATGATGATGATGATGATGACACTGTTGATGCTGATAGTGGTGCTGATGCTGATGCTGCTGCTGATGATGCTGATGATGCTATTGATGATGATGATGATGATGATGATGCTGACGATGCTGATGACGCTTATGCTGATGCTGATGCTGATGCTGATGCTTCTGCTCATGATGATGGTGATGATGGCGTTGTTGAGAATCGTGATGATGATGGTACTGCTGATGAGGATGATGATGCTGGTGCTGCTGATGATGATGCTGATGGTGCTGCCGCTGATGACGATTATGATGATAATGATGGTGATGATGAGGATGCTGATGATGGTCATGCTGATGATCATGATGCTGATGCTGACGATGATGCTGATGATGAAGATGCTGATCATGCTGATGGTGCTGGTGGTGATGATGCATGTGATGATGCTGATATTGATGCTGCTGATGATGCTATTGATGATGATGATGCTGACGATGCTGATGACGCTTATGCTGATGCTGATGCTGATGCTGATGCTGATGCTGCTGCTGCTGATGATGACGGTGAGGATATCGTTGTTGAGAATCGTGATGATGATGATGGTACTGCTGATGCGGATGATGATGCTGGTGCTGCTGAGGATGATGCTGATGGTGCTGCTGCTGATGATGATTATGATGATAATGATGGTGATGATGAGGATGCTGATGATGGTAATGCTGATGATCATGATGCTGATGCTGATGATGATGCAGATTATGATGAATATGCTGATCATGCTGATGATGCTGGTGATGATGATGCATGTGATGATGCTGATGTTGCTGATGATGATGCTGGTGATACTGCTGATGATGCAGATGATGCATGCTGACGATGATGATGATGATGCTGCTGATGTTGATGCTGACGATGATTATTATGCTGCTGCTGCTGATGCTGCTGCTGCTGATGATGATGATGATGATGGTGGTGACGGTGGTGGTGATGGTGGTGGTGGTGATGATGGTGATCATGGTACTGCTGCTGCTACTGCTGCTGCTGACGATGATGCTGATGATGATGATGCTGATCATGCTGATGGTGCTGGTGGTGATGATGCATGTGACGATGCTGATATTGATGCTGCTGATGATGCTATTGATGATGATGATGCTGACGATGCTGATGACGCTTATGCTGATGCTGATGCTGATGCTGATGCTGCTGCTGCTGATGATGACGGTGAGGATATCGTTGTTGAGAATCGTGATGATGATGGTACTGCTGACGAGGATGATGATGCTGGTGCTGCTGAGGATGATGCTGATGGTGCTGCTGCTGATGATGATTATGATGATAATGATGGTGATGATGAGGATGCTGATGATGGTAATGCTGATGATCATGATGCTGATGCTGATGATGATGATGCAGATGATGGTGAAGATGCTGATCATGCTGATGATGCTGGTGGTGATGATGCATGTGATGATGCTGATGTTGCTGATGATGATGCTGGTGGTAATGCTGATGATGCAGATGATGCATGCTGACGATGATGATGATGATGCTGCTGATGCTGATGCTGACGATGATTATTATGCTGCTGCTGCTGATGCTGCTGCTGCTGCTGATGATGATGATGATGGTGGTGACGGTGGTGGTGATGGTGGTGGTGGTGATGATGGTGATGATGGTAATGCTGCTGCTACTGCTGCTGCTGATGGTGATAACGATGATGGTGATGCTGATGATGATGATGCTGATGATGATGATGATGATGATGATGATGATGATGATGATGGTGCTGCTGACGGTGCTGCTGATGACAATACTGATGATGATGCTGCTGATTTTGCTGATGCTGCTGATGATGCTGCTGATGATGGTGATGATGCTGATACTGATGTTGATGATGCTGCTGATGCTGATGATCCTGGTGATGACCATGATGCTGCTGCTGATGATGATGATGCTGCTGCAACTGATGATGATGATACTGCTGATGCTGATAGTTATGATGATGGTGATGCTGATGATGCTGATGATGGTGATGATGGTGATGCTGCTGCTGCTGATGATGACGATGCTGCTGCTTCTGAGGAGGAGGAGGATGAGTATGAGGAGGAGGAGGAGGTGAAGGAGGAGGGGGAGGAGGAGGAGGAAGAGGAGGAGGAGGAGGAGGAGGAGGTGCAGGAGGACCCTGACATCTTCGCTTCGAGGGCGACGGGAGTGTTTTTTGGAGATTCCCTGCCTCCTGCGGCCGTCGCCGGGTCCTTGGACTGTCAAACAGTGTTTCGGGATGAAACATCGGCCCTGCGCGATGGGTTGCCACTTCTGGGGACCGCGTATTTGAAAAAGGAGGACGTTGCATGTCTGTGAAGGCTTCGCGCGCTGACTCGCTCATCGCAGGTTGGCCTTCGCGTGACGCCCAGTCTGCTCGGTGCACCCTTGTTGGCACCACTGTCTGCAGGTGGGCGTGGGCCTGTTGGGCTCGTTCTGAGGACCCCTCGGGCGTGGGGAGGCGCATTGGACTGTGGACAGCGACAGCGACCTCGGGACCCAGCCCTCCGAGGTCTGGACTCCTTCACGAAGACCTGCTTCTCATTTGGAGCCGTTTTTTTACGGCCCTGCCCGCAGAGGACCCCCTGGAACATGAAGCTGCAACGTGCGCCCACCGTGTCGTGGGCTGGCTTCCCCTGGACAACTCGGCCCTCCGGTGGCCGTTCGGGGCGATCCGGGCACCCCAGGAACGCTCTCGCCGAGGCGCAGCTGCTTGAAGGCACTCCGAGGCTGGACAGCCTCTGGGAGCCCGTGGAAACGGCTCGGCGTCGCTCGGACGTGTGCGTGTTTTCTTTGGCGAGGACCACTGAGGAGTATCCTGGAGCATCTTGCGAGACAGAAGCGCACGACACCGAACGGTGCACGGGGAATGGGCGTCCGCGCCATGGCCAGACGTGCGAAAACCCTGCCCGAAACGTCCGGAGTCGGCTGCCCCTCCCGCCGGCGCGGCGCCTGCGGGGCCCCGCCGGGCACGCTCCCCGCCCCGCCCCGCCCCCCTCCCCGGCGGCCGTCCGAGGCCGCAACTCGGGGGGCAGGCAGGTGGAGATCCAGGACCGCGAGACCTACATACCCTCGAAGGCGAGGGGGGGGGGGGCGAAGCAGGGGGATGGGGGAGGTAGAGGAGGAGGAGGAGGAGGAGGAGGAGGAGGAGGAGGAGGAGGAGGAGGAGGAGGAGGAGGAGGAGGAGGAGTATTTAGTACTCCTCGGGCCGCCCGTCGCCACGCTCCACACCGAGGCCTGGTGCGCGACTAAGGGGAGGCGAAGGAAAAGGAGAGGGAGGGCGACCTCAGACGGCCGCAGCAGCCCTGGGGTCTCCAACGGGAGCCACCCCCAGGAATACTCCGCCTCGAAGGTGTCCATGACTGGGGTCCCAGATGAGCCGAGCCACCCCCAGTAGTAGCACCTCGAAGCCCTCCACCAGGGCTGCCAAAGCAGCTGCCAGGAGACACCAAAGCGGCCCCTGGAGAACTCCTCGACATTGACGAAGACTGAGGTCTCAAACGGAGTACCCCCAGTAGCATCCGCCGTCGAGGCTGACACGATGCGATATCGTAGCTCCATGGCTCCCGGCTGAGCAGGTAATAAGAAGTGACCGTTCATGCTGGTGCCCTTCGCGTCGTAGTAGTGATTTTCCCTTCAGGTAAAATACCACGTGCCAATTTGCCAAGGTTTTGGTGGCCATAATGGCCGAGATGCCCACAGCACTCAGCCGCCAACCCACGTAAGAAGTGTTTGCCAACACAGCCGCACCGTAGGCACGCATGGATCTTCATGTCACTGAAGTACCCGAGCAGGTGCGACTCATGAATGGGTACTCCTTGCACCATGACGCCCGTGTCGCCGATCCTCTGGATGCAGCCCTTGACAACGCCGCCCAAGCAAGGGGTCTCCAGGAATGTCTCGAGCTTCCTCCCACTGGCGCTTGATCCACAAGCCGAGCAGTGGAAAGATGAGCCCATGCCAGTGTATACCTGGTGCTCCGATCCGACAAAACTTCTTGGCCATCGAGCGTGTTGGTCGAAGACGTCTTGGCTCCGCCTCTGCCGCTGAAAGGAAAGCCTTCGCCAAGTGCTTCCTCACTGCTCGACCAACCGCCTCCGCATGTTCAACTGCAGCAACGACATCACTCGATGCTGCACACTTCTGAGCCCAGTACCCTGCGGCTTCATCCGCGAGAGCATTGACCAGGTAGTGCTCAACGTTGGTGTTGGTCAGCTTGGCTTGCTCAACGGACATGTGGCTCTCTATCTTGACCACTTGAATATTCTGTGGATACCTTGCCAAAACCTGCTTCACCTGCAGCCAAAGGTCCAGAATGGTGGTGGGCAGCCGTCCTGAGGAAATCCTTGCAATCCCCTTGAGTACATACCCCGAGCCCGTTACAAAGGTCATGGGTTTGCCCAATTCATGCAAGTCCTCCAATGCTCGAAGAAGCGCCGTAGTCTCACCCATATTGATGGTCTGCTTCTTGGGGATCCCACCTCCCCTCGAGTAGAGTAACTTCACATCGAGTTCAGGATCGCACGAGACCTGGATCACCTGGTATGACCACCCTATCCTGCGCAATCTGGGGTCTGCTGAATGTTCTCCTCCCGAAGCGTCTCCACCGACCAGCAGATGCTCACCTACTCGTAAGTCATTCGCATGGCCCATGGTTTCATCGAAAGGTGAATCAGTCGGGCCCTCCACACGTGTCCAGGTAGCGGGTAATATTCCTCTTAACTCAAGGCACGGCAAGTCCTCGACATCCTCCTGGGCTCTGCGAGCCAAGTTCTGCGAGCTACTCGAGAAATGCACATTGCAAGGACACTGCCAATTACGATGCAGATCCGTCTCATCTCGCCCGCAATCACATCTCTGGCATGCGGTGGTGTCCAACGTGCAACTGCTCAGATTTGAGATCCGATGCCGAGTCCAGGACGCGCCCGTCATCACTGCTTCCATCGCGCCCGCCATCTCGTGCTCGCCTTTCCTGCGGAGGGAAATGAGGTGCCGCCGAGCGTCTCGCAGATCTGCACCCTCTTCCATTCCCTTGACATTCCAGTGTCTGGAGGCTCTGTCCCATAGCATCCTGTCGATGGAGTCGGAGATGGCTTCCTTGAGTTCGCTCATGTCCTGCTGGCCTTGACCGATGATACTATCGGTTGCCATGAATCTTTCGCCTGCGTCAGCAATCCAAGCCCATGGTCCGACTGGGTCCCATCCCATGTCCAATAAAGTCGCAATAGTAGCCGAGGCAACTCCAGTAATACCTCGCCATCTGTCCTTCTGGGCACGCATCTCAATCCTCCTGCGCGCTATCCTCCAGGTGCGGCGAGCAAGTTCCAGGTCCAGCCCAGGTTGGAAAATAACTGACATCCAGGATTCAAGCAACCTGTGTACGACCTGGTACTGCGGGTCCTTCCTGCCAACACGAAGCTGCAGCAGCGTGGTAAGGCAACGACCTGGCCACTTCTTCGCCAGCGTCTGACCCAACGACTTCCTCCAGCCATTGATGACAGTTGGCGCCGCTCCAAAAACTTTGTCAGAGTAATCCGCCATAGGTAAAACTCCCACCATCGCCAGTTTCCCACCAATCTTCTTACGTACAGCCCCTTGTGCAAAACGTTTGGCGCGATTAAAGCGGGCGGCTGCGCCACGTCGTCGCTGTACCTGCTTATGTCGTAGAAAGCCCACAGCACCTCTGTCGATGCCGAGGTCCGTCGCCACACTTGCAATTTTGACCGTGCAGCCCTCCTTCTCAAAACCCTTTTGCAGAGCTTTGCCTAGGTCCGCGTGATTGGTGGCGATGGTAGACTTGGGGGAGATGCCCAATCCTGCTTCCTTGCAGCCCTTCGCAAAAGTAAGCCCAGCTTGCAAGGCGAGCCCCAATGCTTGCTTGTACCGGCCTTCCACTCGTTGAGAAACGTCATCCACCCAAGACCTAGTCGCAACTGCTGGGGTGCCTTGTGCCACTCTGTCCAAAATGTTGTACAGTGCACATCTCGAACAATCAACTGCTCTCCCCCAGTCCTGGAATCATGCTCTCCTCTGGGATGATAGCGTCCGAGTAGCAGCCATTATCCCGAAGGAAACGTACTCCCATATGCAGAATCATCTCCAATGCTAGGATGGATACTTGGAGGAAACCCGTGCTCGAGTCCTGATTCAAGAAGTAGCCCCCACTTGAGCGCGTCGTAAAGCCCCTCGGTGTGCCACATCATACTTGCTTGAACCCAACCTTGAATCGTGGAGAGAGCCACCGTCTCGTCCAAGTAGCTGCGTAGTAAAGCTTCGCGCAGAGCAGATGACCCAGCCACTGCTGCATCCCAATGTCCAGCCTTAGTCTTCGTCCATGTGGCTCGGTATTCACCACGACAACTGGGCCACAACCTCGCAAGGCTAGATAAGACTCCAATGGCTCTGTCGTCCCCCGACGACTTCCTCGTGAGAGTCACCAAAACAACAGTCAACTGCCAGGGCCATGCTACCTCTTGCTCGATCTGCTGGAATAAGTATACCAACTCCTGCTTGCCCGACTCTGGTAGCCAAACAAGGTCCTTGTTTTCTCAAGTTGTTCGATGCCTTTCGCCGATGACCCTTTCATCTTCCTGATGCCTTCTTCTAACGTGTCCATGTCGAAGACGGGGAAAGGGTTTGCCGTGGCGTTGTGCCTGGCTGTAGAGAGTAGCTGCCCAATCCGCTCGATCTCCAGGGGCTCGTCACTCCACTTCTCCCGCCATGCTGGCGCCCGAATGTCCATTGCTGTCAGAGGGTCAACGGAACTGTTCTGGCCCCTTCCGAACTCGTCTTTAGCTGATGGCACGCCCTTGATAAGACGGAACAGCTTTGAGTCAAAGCCAAGTACTGAGAGTAGCACTCCATCCTTTGCATACTGCTGGCCAGCTTCGCACACTCTTCCTTGTGCCTGCTGGTGGTGTCCGAGGTCGCCGAGTTGAGCATGCGCAGCTTCCTGCACCAAGAAAGTTTTTCTTTCCGCGGAAGAGTCGCCAGCGTCGAGTTGGGTACGCACCCAGTAGCTTCACGCAGACGCGTCATGAGCTTCCCAAACCTCGGAGACTCCCTCTTCGCACAGGCCCTATCCAACTCTTCCAGTAAGAAGGCGATCTTTGCCCACCAGTCCACTCCAGCGTCCCTCGTGCGAGTGAAGGGCGGCGATGGCACCACCTTGCTGACGTTGACTTTCCGAGCCAGTGCTCGGCCTGTATGTGCATGCCCATCCCTGTCCAAACTTGCCCCATCCAACAACGAGCTGAAATAATCCTCCACTTTGCTGGCGTATTGGCCAAATGTATGTCCAAGAGCCTTGCAACTGTCCGAGGTAAACTGCTAAGCGTAAGAGGATTGAACGTAGCGTGGAGGATTCGACCATTTACCGTCCGTTTTGACAACGGGAGACCGCCACAAATCTTCACGATTGTCGCTTGACCACTTCTCTCCTAATGCCTCAGGAACAGGTGGAACGAGATCGCCTCCAGGTACTTCCTCCCTCAGCAGGTCGTCCTCGTTTTCCTCGTCCATATCTTCAGAATCTGTAGCTTCGTCCAAATCCAGGGGGCCAAGATATTGAAAAGGTGGTGGCCCCTTGATCCCCATCCTCCTGCGTGTGCCCAGAGCTGGTACTTTTGGGCTCCTCGCCGACGGGGTAGCTGCCACTACCAGCTTCCGTGAGCGCTTGCTGCGCGGGTCTGCCTTCTTCTTCGGCTGGATAGGTGGCCCAAAAGCTTTTGGAAGCCGGAGCGTGCGACCTTCCGCCTCCTTGGCTTCTAAGAGTAAGTCAAGCACTATGCCGTAGTGCGCCTTGCCACCTTCGCCCACCAACTCGGTATCAGCATGCACACGATCGAGATACTCCAGAGCAGGACCCGACGCAACCACGTAATCAATCAACGTCCCTTGCCCACCTGTGTACGTGTAGTCCACATTGTCAGGTACCAAGATATTGCCCTGTACCAGGTTGAGCCATCCTACCTTGCGAAGCGTCTCAGGAGGCGGCGGAGGAGGAGGAGGAGAAGCAGTAGGAGGGGAAGGAGGAGGGGAAGGAGGCGGAGGAATGGAATGGAATGTAATGTAATGTAATGTAATGTAATGGAATGAAATCGAATGGAAGGGAATGGGATGGAATGGAATGGGATGGAATGGACTGCCCATGGGGGAAGTGCACAGCACTAAAAAACTAAAGAGAACAAGAGTGGGGAAGGGACGCTCTGGAGTTCGGCTGACAGGCCTACTCTGGAGGCCCAAGAAAACTTATCCCCGAGAGCGAGCGGCAGAAACCTGCTCTTTGAGTCGGATTCGTTCTACAAGTGCCGACATACGTTGCTCATAGGAGGGGGCCGAGTCCGAGGCCGAAAACCGAGTCCGAACAACGGAGGGACAGTCTTATCAAGCAGCGCCTGCACACGACGAGTGGGGCACTTGCCCTGGCGGAGCCTCCCGAGGACCTCGAGACCCTTTCTCGTCGGCGGCTCGCAGCTGCGGCCGAGCTTGCGAGCTCGTCCTTGGGACCACCCTCCACAATTCAAGCAAACGATATGTTGCTCGCGGGACGCAGGGCGGCACGACGACGAGGCACCCACACCAGCGTCTCGAGCCGTCGATCCAGCCCAGGCGATGAGGCCATTTCCCTTGGGGTCAGAGAGCAGTTTATCTCTCACCTTCGGCACGCCCGGGCAGCCATTGATGTGCAGCTGCTCTCGTGGGCCTTCAGCCAGAGCCAGGCAGAATCTGCACTGTACGCCTAACTCGCCGAGCTGCCAATCGTGCCAGGATACAGACCGCCGAGACCTAGAGGCAGACGTCTTGGGCGGGCGTCTCCACCGAACATCATTCCGAAAAAGGGCAGGACCTCCGCGGCAACTCTCATGAACCACGAGGCCCGTTGGGCCGCTAAATCCAACTCAGCTAAAAACTGGGGCGACGGACTCGGGTGGGTATCTAGGGCAACTTTCGCCTGCTTATCCCACCACCGAGTTCGCATGTGCATATATTCTTTCAGTGCCCTCCAAATCATCGAGGACCCTTTCTGAGCGGTACGCCTTGACATGCTGGACTGACTGTATGAAGGGCGTCCCTTCCAGCTGGAGGGCGAATTGTCTGATACCTGCAAACTTGCTAGAAACACGGATCTGACGCGAGACCTGCTGCTGACATACTCTCACCGCCGCTAAACAATCAGATGCGAGTTGAGCCTCTCGTGTGGCCACTTGTCCACAAAGTGCAATGGCAACGTGTTCAGCCATCGCTGGAGTCTGAGGGAGCTGGCCTGGGACAATCCCGCGCATGACTGCAACGGGTTCATCTTCAGCATCTGGGCACACTGCGATCGCCCAGGAGGCTCTGCGCAGCGGTCGCGACAGCTGCTTGCTACAGGATCCGTCTGAGGCAAGACGGAGAGGCGCAGCAGCAGTGAGAGATGCAATCTAATTATGTTCCATGTCCAGTGGGTTGCCGCTGCCATCAAACACCTCGCACTCCGTCGACAAGGAAGGGCTTGGCAACTCACTGTCCTGATACGTGAAGACTCCACTGGTAAAAATGGGCTCCTCGTGTCCAGGAATTCGGGGTAACCTCAACTTTATGACGGGCTGCAACTACATCTTCTAGCTGGCACAAGTACAGCCTGTGATGGATTGTGTCCCTTTCCCCACACGCACAGAGCCCTTCACACAAGTAGGTACCCCGCCCTCTTGGCACGATCGTTGGTCCACAATCCTTGGCAGGCAGCACTCTTGATTAGATACTTCTGATACTTGGAAAACTGACGGGCCTTAGTCCCAACTCGGTCTCGAATCAGGTCCAAAGTCGCTCGCGTGCCTGCTGGGAAACCTTGCTTCTGAGCATACCTGAGCTCTCTCTGCCTTTGAACTCGGAGCCCGAACATATCGGCAAGCTGCGCCGGTGGGGTCGAGGAAACGTTTATGTGCATCTCATTATGGTCGATCCATCTCAAAGGCCCCTCCGCTCGCCAACCAGCACGGCCGAGACACAGCACGGCTCTAGCAAGGGGGCCTCTGGATTGTCGCCAATCTGTACACTCTGACGGCCTCGACAGCTCCCAAAGTCTCAGAAGTTCTGGCATACTAATAAGAGAGAGAGAGAGAGAGAGAGAGAGAGAGAGAGCTCTGGGCGAGTCGCAGCATTCCAGCACATTCTACACCGCTGGGTTGCGGGCGCCAAGGCTAGCCTAGTGTTATTATCTCCGTTTTAAACAACCTTGGCGGACAGGGAAACGCCTGCATGGGACGGGGTATCACATTTGGCTACAAATCTTTTGGCTGAGCCACTCCGCAGCACTGAGCCCCAAGTGATGATGCTGATGCTGCTGCTGATGCTGATGATGGTGATGCTGATGCTGATGACGATGTTTTTGCTGATGATGACGGGGGTGCTGATGCTGCTGATTATGATGCTGATGATGCTGATGAGGCTGCTGCCGATGATGTTGCTGATGCCGATGACGAGGATAGCGGTGGTGGTGGTGGTGATGGTGATGATGCTGCTGCTGCTGGTGATGATGCTGCTTATGCTGATGATCATGGTGGTGATGATCATGATGATACATCTGATGATGATGAATATTATCATCACGATGCTGATGATGCTGCTGATGCTGATGCTGTTTCTGATGATGATGCTGCTGATGATGATGCTGATGGTGCTGCTGATGATGCTGCTGCTGAGGATGACGACGACAATGATGATGCTGATGATGCACATGATGATGATGATGACACTGCTGCAGGGGACGGTGAAGCGGCTGACTAAGCAGTGTATGATGATGTTGGTGATGGTGACGAGCTGCTGCTGCTGATGTTGACGCTGATGCTGATGATGCTGGCAATGATATGGATGATGCTGCGGACGTTGATGATGGTGATGATGATGATGACGATGCTGATGATGATGATGACGCTGATGCTGATGCTGATGATGCTGATGCTGACGATGATGTCGATGATGATGATGCTGATGATGCTGATGCTGATGGTTATGCTTATGATGTTGCTGATGATGGTGTTGATGATAATGCTGACGATGATGATTTTGCTGGTGATGATGCTTACGATGTTGATGATGTTGAAGATGTTGAGGATGAGGATGATGAGGAATATGATGATGCTGATGATGATGATGATGATGATGATGCAGACGCTGATGCTGATGCTGATGATGATGATGATGATGATGATGATGATGATGATGTTGTTATTGATGATGATGATGATGATGATGATGATGATGATGATGATGATGTTGATGCTGATGATTATGATGATGATGACGATGATGATGATTGTGATGATGATGATGATGATGATGATGATGATGATGATGATGATGATGATGATGATGATGATGATGATGATGATGATGATGATGATGATGATGATGATGCTGATGATGATGATGATGATGCTGAAGATGATGATGGTTGAGGAGGAGAAGGAGGAGGGTGACGAGGACGCCTGCAGGAGGAGCAGCAGCAGCAGCAGGAGGAGGAGGAGGAGGAGAAGGAGGATGAGGAGGAAGGGGAGGAGGGGAGGAGGTTGTCAGGACCACCCGCAGCAGCACCCGACCTTCGGCGCCCCCCCCCTCCCGCCATGAGGTCGGCTACGGGGAGGACGAAATGGCCAAGGACCTCCTGGTGCTCGCCGCCAGCGCCCTGCGGGACTCGTGGCGCCATCCTGCCTTGCTCCCGAGAGCAAGCTTTTGAGTAATTGTCCCGCCCCCCCCGCGCACACAGGAAAGCAGTGCGCGCCTCGCCAGAGGCCTGACGCCAAGGCCACCGCGTAGCACTGTGGAGGGAGGTGTGGCCGTCAAAGGCTAGAGCTTGCGGAGTGCGTGTTGCATCTTGGCCTTCGATGTTCCTGGCTCCCCCCCGCTCCCCTCCTTGCCTTTTTCGCTCCTCCCTTTCGCTCCCCCCTTTCGGTCCTCCTCCTCATGCCCACCTCCTCGCTGCTCCACTTCGCCTCTCCTCCATCCTTGCTCCCTCTCCGCGCTCCCCCCTTCGCTCACCATCCTCGCCCCCCTTCCTCGCTCCCCTCCTCGCTCCCCCCTCCTCCTCCTCCTCCTCCTCCTCCTCCTCCTCCTCCTCCTCCTCCTCCTCTTCCTCCTCCTCCTCCTCCTCCTCCTCCTCCTCCTCGCTCTTCCGCGATGTAATCGACATGGTGCTGCCGAGGTTCGGCGTCCCTCTCAGCTTCCGCAGCGTGATCTCGGCGCTGTACTGCAACTGCCTCGCCTTCAGCTCCTTCCGTGCCTCGGGTGCCAGTGCGGCGATGGAGCCGCTGTTTGCTTTGAGGTGTGGCATCATGCAGGGATGCCCGCTGTCGGGCACGGCCTGGTGCTTGGGCATGGATGCCCCGATCTATGCACTGATCGAGGCGCTGGGAGATCCCCCTGAGGGGTGCTTCACGGCGTGTGGTGATGACTTGGGCATGCTCATCCGCAACGCCAAGATCCTCCCGCCCATCGCTGCGTCTTTCGCTGGCATCGAGTTCGCCTTCGACCTGCAGCTGGCGATCCACAAGTGTGTGCTGGTGCCGCTATGGTCCGAGGTCACTCCCAACCTGATTCGCGAGACCGAGGAGTACCTGGCCGAGTTGGTCCCGCGCTGGCGTGGCTTCCGCACCGACTCCTCTGCCAAGTACTTGGGCACGCGCATTGGCCCTGGTGTCTCGGAGCAGGGCATCTGGAAGGACGCGGTGGCGAAGTGGTGGGCCCGCGCCGCGGAGCAGAGTCGCTGTGGCATGCCGACCAGCCTCGCTGCCATCGCCTACAGCGTGAACGTGCTCCCCTGCCTCTCCTACCTGGCCCAGCTCTTCTTCCTCATCCCTGAGATCTGGCGGGTCGAGTTCACTCTGCTCCACCGTCTCCTGCGGTTCACGCCCTCGTCCATGCGCAAGGCGGACATCCTCTCCATGGGTGCATGGTGCGGCTCCCCTGCGCCGATGGGCCTGCTCCCGTACTCGGTCGGCACGCTCCTCCGCGCCGCGGCCCACACGGTGCGCGACTGGGTGCCCACGCTGCACGCCCTGCACGACACGGCGGTCGAGCACCTCCCGCTGGTGAGCGTCCTGCAGGGCTCGAGGTCGCCGAGCTGGTGGGCCACCAAGCGCTCTATCGTCCAGAACTGCGGCCTCGTGATGGATCTGTTCGGCGCCCTGCCGCACCCGCGCCCTGTGTTTGACAAGGTGCCCGTCCCAGTGCCGACGCCCCTCATCGAGGCTGCGCGGCGCGCCATGTACGCCGAGGAGCAGGCGGCCGCCAAAGCTGTCCCGCCCAGGAAGACCAAACGCCAGGCCGTGGCGATGCGCACCCTCCGCGACGGCCTCTACGCGGACCGCCTCGACCAGCTGATCGGCCGCCATCTGCGGCGCTGGGGCCTGGAGGTGCCTGCCGAGGAGCTCCGCGTCCGTTGGCTGGAGCTCCGCGCCGAGTTGCGCTCGGCGCGCCCCGCCTGGCTGTGGTCGTGGCTGCGCACCGCCACCAACGGCTGGATCACGTCGGGCAGGATGCACGTCATCGCTCCGCGCCCCTGCATCATGGGCTGCGACGCGCGGGACGACCTTTCGCACTACATGGTCTGCCCGGTGCCCCGCGGCGCCGTCGCAGCCCCCGCGGAGCCGAGTGAACTGGGTAGCGGCGTCACTTTCCTTGGGCTAGGCCACCAGCGTGAGCACCGTGCGCGTCCGCGCTGTGGTGCTTGCCACGCAGATGTTCCATATTCTGAAGTGGCGGGCTGATTGCAGCCTGCCCATCTACGCCGTTGCGTTCGCCTCTGAGCGAGTGGCAGCACTGCATCGCCTACAGGCTTAGTGCGGCACCGTCGGCACCCGCTCCGCCGAGCTTCGTGCCCTTCTCCTCCTCCTCCTCCTCCTCCTCCTCCTCCCGCCGCCAGACGACATCCAGAGTCGCCGCCTCGTCGTCGGGACCTCGAGGAGTGGTGGGCGTGCACGCCCGCCTGCCCCTCCCGAGGGCGGGAGGGTATCCACGTCCACCGTTCTCCCGCATATCCCGGGCAGGGCCTCCCCCTCCTCCTCCTCCTCCTCCTCCTCCTCATCATTATCATCATCATCATCATCATCGTCATCATCAGCATCATCATTCTTCTCCTCTTCCCCCTCCTCCTCCTCTTCCTCCTTCTCCTCCTCCTCCTCCTCCTTCTCGTCGTCCTCCTCCTCCTCCTCCGTCTCCTCCTCCTGTTTCTTCTTCTTCTTCTCCTCCTCCTCCTCCTCCTCCTCCTCGTGCCCATGCTTTCCGTACCCCCTTCGATCGCCGTGATCGTCCGAGGAGGCCTTCGCGTCCGAGTCGCGGGCCTCTGCCCACCCACGCGGCCTCCTCGGGGGCGGCCGGGGCCGCGCTCGCCGCGGAGCCGCGGCGCCGCGCAGAGCTCGATGCGTTCGGGGCCCCCGAGAAGAAGGCCCCGGGGAGCTTCATGCTCGGAGGGCGCTCTGGCCGTCCGCGGTCCTTTCCCCGATTCGCTGAGTTCTGTTGGGGGGGAGCCCGGGGATCGATCCGACAACGACGACGACGCCGCCGACGACGACGACGAGGACGACGACGACGACGACGGTGGTGGCGACGACAACCACGACGACGACGACGCCGACGCCGACGCCGACTCCGCCGACGACGACGACGACGACGAAGACGACGCCGACGCCGACGCCGACTCCGCCGACGACGACGACGACGACGAGGACGACGCCGACGCCCTCCCCCTCCTCCCGCTCTGCTTGCTCCTCCTGCCCCCCTCCCTTCCCATCCTCTTTCTCCTTCTCCAAACCATCTCCTTATATACATAACTCCTCCCTGTCGCACACCCAGACGTGTCGGTAGGTCGGGCCGTGAGCTTCGCAGAAGGAGGAGGAGGAGGAGGAGGAGGAGGAGGAGGAGGAGTGGGATGATGATGATGATGATGCTGATGATGATGATGATGATGATGATGATGATGATGATGATGATGATGATGCTGCTGATGATGATGATGATGATGATGATGATGATGATGATGCTGATGATGATGATGATGATGATGATGATGATGAGGAGGAGGAGGAGGAGGAGGAGGGAGGAGGAGAGGAGGAGGACAGGTGGGGAGGACGAACCACGACGACACAACGTCGACAACGACGACGACGACGTTGACAACGACGATGACGACGACGACGACGACGACGACGACGACGACGGCGGCGGCGGCGACGACGACGACGACGACGACCGAGGACGGCGGCCGCCTGGTCTTCCTGGCCCCCGTCGACCTGGCCGACTTCCTGGGCATCGACCGCGCCGCCGCGGAACACGGCGCCGCTGCTGGAGGCCTCCAGCCGCCTGCTGCGGCGGGTCGCCGCCGGCCCGCGGCGATGATCGGGGGCAGCGAGGCGAAGGGGGAGGAGAGGATGAGGATGAGGAGGAGTAGGGGAGGGAGGGGAGTAAGACAGGAGTCGGAGGAGAGGAGGAGGAGGAGGAAGGATGAGGGGGATGAGGCGAGCAGAGGAGGAGGCAGGAGAGGATGAGGAGGAGGAGGGTGAGGAGGAAAGAAGGGAGGAAGGGAGGGAGGGAGGGAGGGAGAGGGAGGGAGGGAAGGAAGGAGGGAGGAGTGAGGGAGTGAGGGAGGGAGGGAGGGAGGGAGGGAGGGAGGGAGGGAGGGAGGAGGAGGAGGAGGAGGAGGAGGAGGAGGAGGTCAGATACGACCGATCGCGAAGCGAGTTTAAGATTGACTAGGAGGATCTAGCCGCCTTCTCAGCCTTGCTGATAACTTTGGGCATGAGACCTCTGGAGATTCGGTCGAGATATTCTCGCCGATTCTTGGTGATTGGGGCTTTGGAAGGGGCCTTGCACTCATCAGCCAGACTTCGGAGCTGCTGCTGTTGGTAGGCCCCGCGCGCCGCACAACACCACAAAGACAACAATTCGTGATACAACATCTTGTGAGGCTGGTGGACCCACCCTCCTGCGAGATGTAAACTTTCCCCCCCCAGGCACCCTTCAAATCCCCGAAGACTGAGATTCCAAAGGAAGACAGGGTGACTCCAACAACTCCTTTTTCTTTGCCACAGTCGTGGGCCCTGGGCAAACCAGGCAATTTTTCCCGCAATCCGAAAGACGGTGAGCAGAACAAAAAAGGGCCACCGTGGCAGGAGTAGGAGGAGGGACCCTGGTGGGAGCACGCGCAGCACGAGGGGCCTTCTTTTTCTCATCGTGGGCGGCGGCCTCAAGCGCAGCTCTCAACAATCTCTGCCTGATGAGCATGACCTCATGCTCGACTTGAAGCACCCGAGCACGCTGAGCCTGGGGAGGGCGAGTCCTTTTCGCTGCCTCTCCCGCAAGATGATCCACACCAGCGTTTCCTGCGATAAGGCGGCCTGGCAGGCCTCGATTGACCACCTTCTTTCCCGTGACGTGGGACGGCACCTTGAGCACATCAATCTGAAAATTGTGCCTGCTCTGCCTCTGGAGAGTGGTGCCGATCTCCCTCCACAGGTCTGAGTTGGTCCCTTGTTGGGCGAGAAACAACCTTGCCCACCATCCTCTGCAGACCTCCTCATTGTCCGTGATGAAAATCATGCAGCCTGATGACCAACGAACTCCCAGGAGGAGAGCTAGCAGTTCGCCCCGAGGAACGGTCTGCCGAACTCCTGGGAGCGGGCCAAGCACACAACGAGAATCTAATCCTGGTTCTTCCCCAACGGCTGACACTGCTAACCCAATCCGACGGAGTTGAGGATCACGTGTGTCCAAGCCACCTGAATCATCACCATGGACTATGATTGGCGTGGGCTCTGTGCCGTCGCCAAAGGAATGCTGGTCGAGGTCGTCGTTGTGACTGACTGTCCAGCTCTCCTCGCTCGGAGGAGGATCCACAGCCGTGAGATGAGAGGGGGTCAGCCCTCGATACCAGTAGCACTCCATACTGACACTTTGAGCTAATGCTTTGTGGCACAAATCTTGTGACATATCAAAGGCTGCTACTCCGCGATTGCACCTGCAAGTCCAGAATCGATGCTTGGGCGCCTCTGGACCTTCACCGCATCTTGCACATTGAGATGAAACTGACTATCCTGCTTCATTCTTGCGAGACGCTGTCCATGCCCCACCAACTGATATAGTTAACAGTAGGTGAGTCAACCTGCGTCCAAACTTGGGAATCTGCTCCAGCTGATATATTTGCTTCCTCAGACTGAAAGTACCCACTCTTGTTCCCATTCCTCCTCCTCCACAAAAGGTAGACGCTGCTGTTTGCTTCCATTGTCTCAGCTGAATAGACCGTATGAAAGCATCGAGCAACTCGACTGCTTGATCGCTTGCTTTGAGCTCTGGGCCATCGAACCTCCAACCAGCCTGGTGTCCATCGTGATCTGCCTCTTGGTACCCTAGTGCTGGTTCGGGTATCTCCCATCCCGCGTCGAGGAGATAGTGGATGACAGCCGTGAGCGGCCCCCGAATCTGTCGGGCACGATTCTGGGGCTGGTGCTGCAGAAATAGCCGAGCCGAGTCGGTTTCGACGCTGCGGGGGCTCGCAGGGGGCCCCACGAGCCCGAGATCGGCGGCCACCTCCGACGACTCCCCTTGCCGAGACCCCTGTCGTCGTGATGGCTTCGCAGCGCGGGCCCCCACAGAGGTCCGCACCTTAGCTGCCTCGATACGCCCGTTTTGATACGCAACACGTGCCGTGTTCAAAACGTCCGTGTCAATACGTTGCGTGTTGGCTCCACTATTGGCCCACGTTTTGGCGAACGTATCGCGTCGGGCCTACGTTTTCAGTCCACGTGGTGAGCTCTGTATCAATACGCTACGTGTCGCGTATTGCGTATCGGGGCAGCTAAGGTCCGCACCCCTGCCCGAAGACCGGCTTTTCACCCTGAGGCGTTCGCATGGTGCCCACAGCGCAGCGCGGACTTCGCTCGGAAAGCGTTGGAATCGGCCCGGATTGTCCTGGAGAGTGATGCCGTTCCGGATTTCGAAGTGAAGTTCGTGCGGATAGTATTTGGCCAGAAATGAAGACTAGAGCATCTCCACGGGAACTGCACTTCGTTTTTCGCTCGCCGTTCCGGGGTGTTGCAGTGACAGAATTAAGTCGGGCATGTCCCTCTGACAGGAGGAGTCTTTAAAATAGTCCGAAGGCAGTCTGGGGACGATCTTCCCAGCATGTCTGGACTATTTTTGAGCATCGGTTAACTATTTTTGATTTTTCGTCCAAAATCCACCTGTAGGGGGACATGCCCGACCTGATGACAGAAGTCCACGCAGCAAAGTCCGCTGCAGCACGTCTTGCCGACAGCCCCCCTGGGCCCCGCGAGGGAGGGCCCCCGACGGCGGAGCGGCCGCGCCTTCCCCAGAGAGCCTTCCGTGAAAGCGTCCTGCCCACGATGCAGGGGGGGTGCCCTTCCTCCTCCTCCTCCTCCCCCTCCTCCTGCTCCTCCCCCTCCCTCCTCCTCCGCCTCCTCCTCCTCCTCCTCCTCCTCCTCCTCCTCCTCCCTCCTCCTCCTCCTCCCCCTCCTCCCCCTCCCCCCCTCTCCTCCTCCTCCTCCTCATCCTCCCCTCCTCCTCCTCCTCCTCCTCCTCCTCCTCCTCCCTCCTCCTCCCTCCTCCTCCCCTCTCCTCCTCCCTCCTCCTCCTCCCTCCTCCTCCTCCTCCTCCCTCCTCCTCCTCCTCCTCCTCCTCCTCCTCCTCCTCCTCCTCCTCCAATTTCCAGGGCTCGAGCTGCAGCGTGTGTCTTGCGATGCCGTGGGGACCGTTTTCGCCTGGATCTCGTTCTGCGACGGGGGCAGGAGGAAGACAGAGCGAGGGGCCCCGAGGACAAAGCGAGAGCACGGAGACTGCCGCTTAGCTCGAGCCCTCCCCTCCTTTGTCGACCCGCTGTTTCCTTTCGTGCGAGCGCTGCCGCCCGCAGACGCCGACGCCGACGACGCAGAAGCCGACGCCGTCGCCGACGCCGTCGCCGACGACGACGCCGACGCCGAAGGAAGGAGACGACGACGCCGCCGACGACGACGCCAACGCCGACGACGACGACGAACCAGGCTCGAACCGCCGCGTGCCCCTCGCAGCACCCATCTCGGGCCGCTCCTGGCCCCTCTCGCGCGCGCCTCGGGCCGCCCGACCTCCGACAGCCGCGGGAGGAGACATGCGCGCTGCCGTGAGCGTTCGGGCGATCCGCGAGCGTCGAAGCCTCAGAGGAGGACAAGGGCACGTGCCCACACCGCTGCCCTTCCCCGGCTTCTCCCTCCGTGGGCCTCCTGGGAGGCCCCCGTCGCCACCGCTGGGCTCGCCACCGCTGGTCAGAACGCACCCCGGGAGAGGTCCAGGGAGTCGCGGTATCGGTACCCTTTGGTTTCCCCATATGCCTCCTCCTCCTCCTCCTCCTCCTCCTCCTCCTCCTCCCACTCCTCCTCCTCATCCTGCTCCTCCTGCTGCTCCTCCTCCTCCTCC